AATATTGAAATGTAATTTAGAAATCATTCAGAAATATTTCTGAAGCATTTAAGAGATATTTCCGAAGCATTTAAAAGATATTTCTGAAGCATTTCAGAAATATTTCAGAAACATTTATGATATTTCATCTACGCCAGAGCTGTCCACGAACTGCTCATTTCGGCCGATTTTCGCGAGGCACCGCCTATCACCCCCTACTCCAGTCATTAAACAACCGTAACCAAACGCGCGACGCTCAGCTTCAGGTACGACGATTAATGACTGGAATAGGGGGTGATAGGCGGTAATACTCGCGAAAATCGGCCGAAATGAGCAGTTCGTGGACAGCTCTGATCTACGCGGACATTTCATGTATCTGAAACATGTCTGAAATATTTTTTGAAAGGTTTCATATTTCATTGACAGCTTTTTGAGAGCTTTCTGAAATATTTCGGTGCTGTGTGGGTAGCACTAGTACCACTCAATGCCGCGGCGTGGCGACCGCGCGTTAGTCTTTCTCGTAAGTAAAAATCATTCCGTATTAGTATAAGAGGCGAGCCGATATGATCAGCAACAGCGAGTTGTCTGGATCATGAATAATCTTCAATAACCTGAATATACTTTTGATGACTTCCAGAAAGTAGACATTCAATGGACACCCACACAGCAAAACAAATTTCAGAAAGCTTTCCGAAAGATAACTTGGAAATTAATATTGAAATGTAATTAATAGCGAAATGTAAGATAGAAATCATTCAGAAATATTTCTGAAGCATTTCAGAAATATTTCCGACGCATTTCAGAAATATTTCCAAAGCATTTCTGAAGTATTTCTGAAGAATTTCAGAAATATTTCCGAAGCATTTAAAAGATATTTCTGAAGCATTTCAGAAATATTTCAGAAACATTTATGATATCTCAGCTTCGCGGACATTTCATGTATCTGAAACATGTCTGAAATATGCCTGAAATATTTTTTTGAAAGGTTTCATATTTCATTGACAGCTTTTTGAGAGCTTTCTGAAATATTTCGATGCTGTGTGGGTTATTATGCGTTGGCCAAGTACGTATTTGCAAAACACAACCTACATTCCAAAAAACGACACTAGGTTGGATAATATCGGGAGCAGTTAATCCCGCTTCACAGCAGCAGAACGCCTTGCGGTGTCATTTCGCTCAGCAGGCGGCGGTGCAGGAGCAACTTGAAAAATTTTGGCACATTGAGGAGCTCCAGCCAAAACATCATCTCACTCAGGAAGAACAAACATGCGAAGAACACTTCTGCAAAACGCATTCACGTCAAGAAGATGGAAGATTCATCGTGCAGCTTCCGCTAAAGGATAATTACACTGAACTGGGCGATTCCTACGATACCGCTAAAAGAAGATTAGCAGCCTTGGAGAGAAGGTTATCAAGGCAGCCACAATTAAAACTGCAATACGGATCTTTTCTGCAAGAATATAACGAATTAGGACATATGAAGCTCATTTCCGAGGAGGAAAAACAAGACGCAAGAAGCAACGATACAATCTATTATCTGCCGCACCATGCTGTCATAAAGGAAGATAGCGACACTACACGGCTGCGAGTCGTCTTCGATGCGTCAGCCAAAACGAGCTCAGGCCTATCCTTGAATGACGTTCAGCTAGTAGGACCCACGATTCAGCAAGACTTATTTAGTATCATTCTTCGTTTTCGTCAACACACATATGCAGTCTCTGCGGACATCTCAAAAATGTATCGCCAGATAAGAGTGAGGGAAAACCAATGCAAACTGCAACGTATCTTGTGGCGCTTCAACCAGGAGGAAAAAATCAAAACGTACGAACTTCAAACAGTCACATATGGTGAAGCTTGCTCTGCGTTTTTGGCCATTCGCTCACTTCATCAGGCCGCGCGGGACTTGCAACATCGTTTCCCTAAGGCTTCCGAGATTATTATTCGTGACTTTTATGTGGACGACCTTTTAACGGGTAGCAACGACATCAAGCTTCTCTCTCGCTTGAAAGAAGAGATCATCATTATTCTTGGAACGGCCAAATTCGAGCTGCACAAGTGGAAATCTAATCACCCTGCATTGATGAGTGCTGACGGCCACGCGCCGACGGCGGTGCAGATAGGCGAAGGTACGAAGATCCTCGGACAATCTTGGGACACCAAACTCGATACATTTCGCTACACCACTGGCGCGGCGGACCGGGCGCAAAGGCCTACGAAAAGACAAGTTTTGTCTTCTATTGCTCAAGTGTTTGATCCGCTCGGCCTATTGGGGCCCGTTATCACTCGAGCTAAAGTGATCATGCAACAACTGTGGCAAATTCAGCTAGACTGGGATGAATCATTGCCTGCTCAAATCCACACCCAATGGTCTCGGTGGTATCGGGAAATCCCGAAGCTAAATTATCTGCAGATACCTCGTCGCATTTTGTGTGATGAACCAAGGAGCATAGAGCTACACGGCTTCTGCGACGCCTCGGAGCAAGCATACGGCGCTTGCCTTTATTTCAGAACTACCGATGTGAACCAACAACATCATATCAGGCTGCTGTGTTCGAAATCACGTGTCGCTCCTTTAAAAATTCTAACCTTGCCCAGGCTCGAGCTGTGTGGTGCTCTGCTGTTATCCAGACTATATCAACAAGCAATTGATTCGCTAAATGTATCATTAGACAGCGTACATTTTTGGTGCGACTCCACCATAGCGTTGTCTTGGATTTCGGGTAGCCCCAGCCAGTGGTCAACCTTTGTTGCCAATCGGAAATTCAGAAGCTAACAGTCAAAGGGAAATGGCATCACGTTCGCTCTGAGCTCAACCCAGCTGATATTGTGTCTCGAGGACTAAATCCCGACGAGATCCAAAATTGCCCGCTTTGGTGGAAGGGGCCTTCATTTTTGCAAGAAGACTATTCCAGCATTTTAAATGATTCGATACGGTTGCTTCCGCCAAAGGAATTACCGGAGGTGAAGCGGCAAACTATCGCGCTGTCCGCAGCATTAGAGGAGGATTTAAATCTCATCAACAAATTTTCTTCCTTAAGTCGATTAAAGCGAGTAACCGCTTATTGTTATCGTTTCGCTCACAATGCGAAACGAGGGGGTAAAAATCACCAAGGCGAAATTCAAGGACCTTTGCAAGTCGCAGAACTTGAGCGCAGCTTGCGAACCCTCATCATCCTAGCTCAACGCAACGCCTATGCAGAGGAAATCAAGAACCTTGCCAGAAAAGGAGAATTGTCGACCAAAAGCCAGATACTTTCCCTTCGTCCATTTTTGGATACGCATGGCCTTTTGCGAGTCGGAGGACGCCTGCACGAAGCTCCGTTGGACTACGACCAAAAGCACCCCATAATACTACCAAGAAATCATCATCTCACATCCTTGATCATAAGGGAAGCACACTTGAAGAACCTACACATCGGAGCTCAAGCCCTCTTAGCAATGATTCGTCTTCGTTTCTGGCCCGTATCGGGGAAAAATGCCATAAGGAAAGTGCTACACAAGTGCCTCGTCTGCACTCGAGCGCGCGCCATATCCGTCGAGCAATTGATGGGAAATTTGCCTGCATCACGCGTGACGCCCTCGCCCCCTTTTGCTAAAACGGGTGTGGACTACGCCGGTCCTTTTAATATAAAAATAAGCCGCAACAAAACCGGCAAGGCCTATTTATGTGTATTCGTGTGCTTTGTAACTAAGGCCTTACACTTAGAAGTTGTTTCAGATCTCAGTACTGCTGCTTTTTTGAATGCTCTGAGGAGATTCATAGCTAGGCGCGGGAAATGCGTCGCAATTTACTCTGACCACGGAACAAATTTCGTGGGTGCCAACAATTCCTTAAAGGAAATGCACCAATTAGTCAAAGAAAGCAGCTCAAAAATTCATGATTATCTCTCAGAGCAATCAATTAGCTGGAATTTTATTCCTCCGCAATCACCGCACATGGGAGGTCTCTGGGAGTCCGCGGTCAAGTCGTGCAAAAACCATTTAACCAAAGTCGCAGGTCTGACTTCGTTGACCTTTGAAGAACTCACGACTGTCGTAACTCAGGTAGAGGCCATATTGAATTCCAGGCCTTTAACACCCATGTCCGCGGACCCCACAGACCTCAATGCTTTGACTCCCGGTCATTTTTTGATCGGCCGGTCACTCGCCTCTATTGTTGAACCTGATGTGTTAGACATTAAGATGAATTGTTTGAATCGCTATCAGGTTTTGGAGCAGATGCGCCAGAGCTTCTGGAAGCGATGGTCGACTGAATATTTGACACAGCTTCAGCATCGCACCAAGTGGAAAGAAGTTCAAGCTATTGTAAGGAAAGGGACTATGGTTGTTTTGCGTGAGCAAGGTACTCCGCCTTTGAATTGGCGACTCGGGAGAATAACAGAAGTGCATCCTGGCAAGGATGGTCTAGTACGAGTCGTAGAAGTAAAAACTACCACAGGCATATATCAAAGGCCCTTATCCAAAATCTGCATTTTACCTGTTGAAATTTAATTTCCTTTGAAAGCCAAGCCTTTCAAGGCCGGCGGCTATGTTAAGCGTTTGTCAATCACGGTGGCAAAAATTACCGATAACAGTTTTTCTTTTTAGTTTGTAAAGGTTGGCTAGCTACAAGGTACTAGATTTCCCTAGACCAACCGCGACTCTACATTTTGTATCGATATTTATCGAATCGATTAGTATGAGGAAGGCGTGCGTGCGCAACCCGATAAGTTAGTGAGCCATGAGGTTGGAAGGAAGTCACCTCGCCTTTGTTCACCCAGAAAAATAAATTAGTAAACCACAGCAAAGGAGTATTGATTTAATCCATCTACTGGAAAAGCAAAGAGTACCGCGCAAAGGTACTCAACAGCTCTCAAAAAGCTGTCAATGAAATATGAAACCTTTCAAAAAAATATTTCAGGCATATTTCAGACATGTTTCAGATACATGAAATGTCCGCGAAGCTGAGATATCATAAATGTTTCTGAAATATTTCTGAAATGCTTCAGAAATATCTCTTAAATGCTTCGGAAATATTTCTGAAATGCGTC